GCAGGGCAAGAAACTCCTGTTCTGGAGCCAGCTGGCTAAGTTTTGCATCTCAACTCTAGAACTTGTTAGTGGGGTGGCCTCAGGCCATCACTTATCACTTCAAAATTTCTTTACTCTTGTGACATAAAGAAAATAAAATCTATCAATATGAATTGTTTTAAGGATTTAAGATTGTACTCTATTATCTGTCTATATCTACCATCTACCCATAGCTATACATCAATCTAACCATCCCTCCACCCCCTCAAATATTGCAATAAAGCAAGTCACACAATATTATTGTCTCCCAGTACATATTAAATTTATGTTTACACTGTAGTCTATTAAGTGTTCAATAGCATTATGTCTAAAAAAATTTATACACCTTAATTTAAAAAAAAACATTTCACTGTTAAAGAATGCTAATGATCATCTGAGTCTTTAGCAAGTTGTAATTTTTTCTGGGACAGGTCTTGCTTCACTTGACAGCTACTGACTAATCAGGCTGGTAGTCGCTGACAATTGGGGTGGCTTTGGCAGTCAAAAAATTTTAATTATTTTTTATCGAGGTGAAACATACATAATTTACCTTCTTTATCATTTTAAGTGTACAGTTCAGTGGTAATAAATACACTTACATTCTCTTGTCCCTTCTTCTCCCCTCCCAATTTCTTAAAATAACAATAAAGTTTGCCACATAAATGGACTATTCCTTTTAAGAAAGATTACTCTGTACCATGTGATACTATTTGCTATTATTTTAACCACAGTAGAACTTCTTTCAAAAATGGAGTCAATTGTCTCAAACCCTGCTGTTGATTTATCAATTAAGTTTCTGTAACATTCTAAATCCTTTGTTGTCATTTTAACAATGTTCACAACATCTTCACGAGTAGTTTCCATCTCAAGAAAACACTTTCTTTGCTCATGCATACCTAGCAACTCTATCCATTAAAATTTTACCATGAGATTCCAGCAATTCACTCACATCTTAGTCTATGTTTTTAATTCTAGTTCTCTTGATGTTTCCACCATATCTGATGTTTCCACCATATCCACCATATTCAGTTACTTCCTCCACTGAAACTTCCAAACTGTCAAAGTTATTCACAAGGATTGAAATCAACTTCTTCCTAATGCCTGTTTATGCTGATATTTTGACTTCCTCTCGTGAATCACAAATGCATTTAGAATGGTGAATCCTTCTAGAAGGTTTTAGTTTACTTTTGTTCATATCCATTAGAGGAATCACTATCTTTGACAGCTACAGAGTTATATAATGTATTTTTTTAAATAATAACACTTGAAAGTCAAATTCCATGGGCTACAGAATGGATGCTGTGTTAGACATAACAAAAAATAATCTTCCTATACATCTCCATCAGAGCTTTTGGATAACCAGGTGCATTGTCAATGAGCAATAATATTTTGAAAGGAATCTTTTTTTATCTGAGGAGTAGGTCTCAACAGTGAGCTTACAATATTCAGTTAAGTCATGCTGTAAACAGATATTCTGTCATCCAGGCTTTGTTGTTCCATTTGTAGAGCACAGTCAAAGTAGATTCAGTACAATTCTTAACAGTCTTAGAAATTTCAGAATGTCACATGAGCACTGGCTTCAATGTAAAGTCACCAGCTGTGTCAGGCTCTAACAGTGAAGTCAGTCTGTCCTTTGAAGATTTGAAGCCAGGCATTGACTTCTTTCTAGCTATGAAAGTCCTACATGGTATCTTCTTCCAATCAAAGGCCATTTTATCTACATTAAAAAGCTGTTGTTTACTGTAGCTACCTTCATTAATAATCTTACCTAGACCATCTGTATAATTTGCTGCAGTGTATGTACATCAGTACTTGTTGCTTCACCTTGAATTTTTATTTTATGGAGATGGCTTCCTTCCTTAAACCTCATGAGCCAACCTCTGACAGCATTCACCATTTTTTCTGTAGCTTTCTCACCTTTCTCAGCCTTAACAGAATTGAAGAGAGTTAGGACCTTGCTCTGGATTTTAGGTTTTAGCTTAAGGGAATGTTGTGGTCGGTCTGTTCTTCTATCTGACCAAAACTTTCTCCATATCAGCAATAAGGCTGTTTCACTTTCTTCTCATTCATGTGTTCATTGGAGTAGCACCTTCGATTTCCTTTAAGAACCTCTCCTTGGCATTCACACCTCTGTTTGGTTCAAGAGGCCTAGCTTTTGGCCTATCTTGGCTTTGACATGCCTTCTTCACTAAGCTTGATCATTTCTAGCTTTTGATTTAAAGTAAGAGATGTGAGACTCTTTCACTTGAGTACTTAGAGATGTTTTTAGGGTCATTAATTGTCCTAATTTCAATATTGCTGTATCTTAGGGAACAGGGAAGTGGAGGAGAGAGAGAGACACAGGGAAATGCTAGTTGGTGGAACAGTCAGATCACACAAAAAACTTGTCAATTAAGTTTGCTCTCTTCACTCCTTTCCTTGAGATCACTCCATTAATAATAACAGTGAATGCTGTGTGTAATTTACGTAGAGCCTGAGAGGAGAGAATGGGGTCCTAGTTCTTCCACAGAGAAGGCAAATATTTTCTGTATGCATGACATTCCAACCTCCTCTATAAATTATGATACTTTAAGCCATATACATTTAAAAATAGAATGGAAGAAAATCTTGTAAGCAATTATTGAGAAAATTATAAATATGAAGAAATGTCACAAAAAATGTAATTTTACATATATAAACATAATTTAAAATAGGTAAATTTACATTGAGAAAGTAAAAACAACAATAACATTTATTAGTACCAACTGTGTGCTACTATTCCTGGGCTAATTCTAAGTTTTTAGCCACCTCTACCCCCGATAATTAGGGGATATTATTTTTAAAGTGATTCTGGTTAATATTTATACAGAGATTTAATTTCACTTTTCTATGTGTTCAAGCAGTATTGGTATTTTAATAAAGGCTCAAGACATTTCCAGCAGTGTATACTTCACAAGGCAAAAATTAAAAGCAAAAGATGGGAACAAACTTGAATGTAGAAGAGCATGTTTATTTGTTCACCATCTTTCTCTGAGCCTGAAAGTAATAAGAACTTTAAATTACAGAACTAAGTTCATACTCTGTTTTACTTTTCGATATCATATTTTTAGTCAAACTGAGCTCGTCACTGGCTTCTAGCTTGGAATTGTTGACATTCTTTATTGTTTTATATTTTGGCAGAATCAGTCAACAAGACCATCATCCAAGTAAAAAGATGTGACCAATTGCTTTAAAAATAAATGATATTGGGACTGAATTAAGAGAGAAGGTTCACTAAAACTCTGTAGAAGAGTCCTCATCAGTCTCTCCATATTGCTTTTGACAATCCTATGAGACTGTTATATATTATGTTTACTTTTAGAGCCAACCAATCTCTTTTAACTTATACTACAGTATGACAAAAGCAATAAGACTCTCTCAGATAGCTCTTAGTTTAGTGTGAGCTGAATTATTTCTTTCTATTAGAGGCTGCTAGCCTGTTCTTCACTTCCTACAGATTTTTTCAGAATTAACAGAGAAAAAATTGTTATCTGCTTTGGGTCTACTGATGACCTTGATCTTTTAATTATTACATATGAACTGAAGTCATAATAAAGAAGGCTGAATGAGTTTTATCCATCTTAAGGAACTGAAAGACCATTGGAATTTTATTTTTCTAATTATATTGATCAAAACAACTATTCTACTTCCTCAAAAAATAGATATTTTGTCTTTAATTTAATTATCACATCTAAAATGTCAAAAAATAGTTATTTCTAAAGAGTTTAAAGATTCAACCAGCCCCTTCAAAGTTAAATGCTTACAGCATCAACTCCTAACTGTTCTGCCTTTAAATACATGTGAAAATGTATTAGGGAACCAAAAGTAAGCGCAGGGTTTCAATCAACACTATTTGCTTTGTTTTTCAAAGTAAATTTGTGCTGAAACGCAAAATCAGAGTATAATATTGATTATATTCCAGTGACGAGGCAAGAAAAAGTAAAGAACATTTCAAAGTTTTAAGGAACAGTATATCAGAAAATATCTAAAGGGTCCTAAAACTATTGGAATTCATACAGTATCAAAGTTCAATTAACAAGTTAGATTTCAAAAGTGAAAAATACCTGCTTCTTTTTCAGTTGTCCACTTCTGTGTACAATTTTCATTTACCTTATTTTATCACTATGATCTGCTTTCTATTTATGGACACTTGGTTCTTATTCAAAGCAGCTGTTGCCCCTCTTTTGCATCTAAGTGGCAGCTATTCTGAAGCTGTTGCCAAATGAAGGCAGTGTGTGGGGGCGGGTTGTGCTCAGGTGCACATTACTTAAGGAAACTTGAAAACTAAATACACAAATGTTGGAAACAGGAAAATGATGGGATGCATAAAAGGTATAAAACATCATTTGCTATTCAAAACACGTATCACTATCCAAATGTCAGCTTTCTTCATTTACAAAATGTACAAATTTTTAGAAAAGCGGCACTATAAAGAAAGTAACAAACTCGATTCTTTGTCTTATAGCTTCCCAAATTAAATATTAATAAAACCATGCATTGTGATGTTTGGAACTATTGTCAGTTATCCATGATATCTTAAATTGGCTATGGATGTTAATGTGGATAGAGAAAATTATAAATGCTTTTCTGGAATATACTATGATTTACCTACTAGCTTTTCAATTTCAGAGTCATAGTAAAAAGAAAGGCAAGTCACTTTCAGGTAACTTCTATAGGAAATGCAGGACTGTGGGTGGTTAAAATGTACTCTTCTCTGCCTCACTGTGATACCTTTTCTCTCAAAAAATATCATATTAGTTCCTCAAAAATAGCTGGAATAGCAAAACTACCCGACTACACCCATCCCTTCTCCTTGTGTGAAATATTGCCTCATATTCAGGAAAACTGTCCTTGGCCAAATACTGGTAGCTCTGCTCTCTAAATAATGAGCCTTCCAAATGAGCCAAAGAGGATACCAGAATCTAAGTATAGGTATGAAGATATAATTCGAACATGAGAAATACCTGCATCAACTTCAATTGTCAACTTCTGTGCATCAACTTCACAAAATCGACTTCATCACAGGGATCTGCTGCTTGCTTGTGGAGTCCTCCTACTGTAGCCCCCCTTGTCCACAGGTGTCATGTAGACTGCTGCTGTAGAAAGGAAGTGAGAGACACTTGGATAATATCTTTGTCCATTTAGGCTGCTCTATTCAAATATATCATAGACTCCATGGCATATAAATAACAGAAATTCATTTCTAACTGCTCTAGGGGCTATGAATGGACATGCAGGGTGCCTGCAGATTCGGTGCCTGGGAAGGGCTGGCTTCCTGGTTCATAGAAGGCTGTCTTCTAACTGTGTCATCAAGTGGTAAAAGGGACAAGGGAGTTCTCTGAGATCTCTTTTTATAAGAGCACTAATTCCATTCATGACCTAATTACCTCCTAAAGGTCCCACTTCCAAATACCATCACATTGGTGATTAAGTTTCAACATATGAAATTTGGGGGACCACACACATTGGGGCCATGCCCTATGAAATATCTAACTTGCTAGGGCACAGGCATAACTCTACTGCAGCTGAGATCACATCCTTGCTTTGATCCTTCCCCCATCATCTCCTAGTCTCCTCATTCCTTTCCTGGAGAGCACCTCCTGAATGAGTTACTTGCACCCCTCATCTCTGTTTCAGGGTCAGGTACTGCTTCTGGAGTACCCCTCTGAAGAGGAGTACCCCTGCTTCTGGAGTACCCACCCTCAGATCCATCACCTAATATGTGTTGAATGAATGGAACTTACAGCAGAAATGAAGATGCGTTAGAGAAATCTTCGTAGAAATCTTTGAACTGAGTTTGATTTTCCTGCCTAGCACCCTTTCCCCTTCTCTCTCCATATTAAAAATTTGAGCCAATCATTCAAAGGAGAATACAACACATTTTTATTCCTCTTAAAATTTAATAGACTTTATTGAGATTTAAATTATAGACAAATTATGTGGAAAGTGCAACAAATTCCAATATAATCCATTTCTTACCTCCCATGTGAGTTTCCCTTATTATTAGTGTTTTGCATTAGTGTTGGACATTTGTTACAATTAATGAACCAATATTGATATGTTCTTACTAACTAAAGCCCCTAATTTGCATTAGGGTTTACTCTTTGTGGCACAGATTCTGTGGGTGCTGACTAATGTATGACGGCAGGCTTCCACCACCCACAGTACTATACAGATTAGCTCCACTGCCCTAAAATTCCCCCGTGCTCCACCAATGAGCTTTTCCTTCCTGCCCGCAAACCCCTGGGGCACCACTGATCTTTTTACTGTCTCCAAAATTTTGTCTTTTCCAGAATATCATATAATTGAAATCATACAGTATGTAGCCTTTTCAGATTGGCTTCTTTCACCTAGCAATATGTATTTAAGTTTCCTCCACGTCTTTTTATGGCTGGATAGCTCATTTCTTTTTGTTGGTGAATAATATATTCCATTGTATGGATGTACTACAGTTTTGTTTTTTTTTTAATCCATTCTCTACTGAAGGACATCTTGGTCATGATTTCAAGTGTTTGAAATTATCAATAAAGCTTTTATAAACATTTCTGTATAGGTTTTTGTATATATGTAAGTTTTCGACTCATTTGGACAAACACCAAAGAACACTATTATGATCGTGTGGCAACAGTATGTTTAGTTTTGCCAAACGATCTTCCAAATTGGCTGGGCTTTTTGCATTCACACTAGCAATGGACAAGAGTTCCTGTTCTCTCCAACTGCACCAGCAGTGAAGTGTTGCCAGTGTTTTAGATTTTGGCCAATCTCATAGGTATGTAGTGATATCTCATTCTTCCTATAATGTACAATTCTCTAATAATATATGATGTTGGGCATTTTTTCACATACACTTTCCATCTGCAAATGTTTTTTGGTGAGGTTTCAGTTCATATTTTTTACACATTTTCAAATTGAGTTGCTTCTTATTGTTGAGTTCTAAGAGTTCTTTATACATTTTGAACATTAATCCTTTATTAGATATGTATTTGGCAAATATTTTCTCACATACTGTGGCTTACTTTTACATTCATTCCTTGAAAAGTATATTCCACACAGATGTTCTTAATTTTAATAATGTCCAATTTATCATCTTTTTCTTTCATGGATCATGCATTTTGTGTTGTATCTATAAAGCTACTATCAAAGCCTGACTCATCTAGATTCTCTTCTATGTCAAATTTTATGGTTTTGCATTTTAATTTAGGTCTGTGATCCATTTTGAGTTGATGTTTGTGAAAGGTATAAGGTCTGTGTTTTTTTGTTTATTTGGTTGCTTGCTTTTGCATGTGAATGTCCAGTTGGTCCACCACTATTTACTGAAAATACTATTCTTTATCCATTGAATTTTCTTTGCTCCTTTCTTAAAGAACAGCTGACTATATTCATGTGGCTGTATTTCTGGTATTTCTATTCTGTTCCATTTATCAATTTATCTATTTTTTTGTTACTACACAGTGCATTGATTACCGCAGCTTTATAGTAACTTTTGAAGTAGGATAATATCAGCCCTACAACTTGTTCTTCTCCTTCAGTATTTTTATATTCTTTTTACAATAACTATATATTGAGTGCTTGTATATACTCTTCTAGAGGAAACAGCAGTGATTATAACAGATAAAAGTTCTATACTCATGGAGTTTATCACTTATTTGGTGTACTACATACACACACACACATAGGCCCTTCGTGTTCAATTAATAAATGCAGGCATATAAATAAGTAGAGGTACATCACATATTATAAACGTCCTAGTTGTGTGTTAGTATATCATAACATGTGCATTTATAAGCATGTATACAAGAAAGTAGAATGAACTATATATTTTGATTTTTTAAATGGATTCTAATAGTTATATTTTCTCAGTTCTTATTTCCTTTGTTTTCTGCATGTCTTAATCAAGAATACTGAGCCACATTCCAGTGTGGGATGTTACCTAGAAAAATACTCACCATAGAATGAGATTTGTATAAAGCAAAATAGTAGGAAGGTTGCCCACAAGAATGTAGGGTAAAAGAAAATGTTTGGGCTGTTGTGGTGATGGGTTTAACACAGAGCATCTTGACCCTAAGTCCCAGGAAAGCCAGAAGGAGTGGGCTGATAAGATTCAACAATAGGCAGAAAACCATTTCAGCAATGTTAAGGTTTAACTGTTAAAAGCTAGTGTTGGGCATGGTTAATCCACTGGAGAGTCTGGAACATAGTTGATATCATCGCATGAGAGAAAATTAAATGATTAATGATGTGTTTATAGAGATAAAGCTAAAATGGCCATTTTTGTTAGAAGTTGAATGGCAAGATGTGGTGAGCTTGTTATGTTGAAAGTTGATGATAAGGCAATTTTGCTCCTTTGATAATCTAAGGTTACAGTAAATTGCAAATTAGCTGCTTTGAAGTTGCTGTATTTAATTTTGAGTAGAAGCAGGGGTAATATCCTAATGCATATATCTTTGGAAGAGATAGGGACATGGGAAATTCCTTTATACTGAATCATATCAGAAATTAGTGAACTACATCTACATGTCATCTGGTTCGGAGCTCAGGCTAATGCCTTAACATGCTCAGTGATAATCAGTGAAAGATACTAATACTTAGATCAATAACATGAGTAGAGAAAAGTGGATAACACAATCATATTTACAACATTTCCATTTTCTTGTTCAATTAATTAATTAGAGATACTGGAGGACTTGTTTGTTTTTAATGTTCACTTTTAGCTCAATGTCCCATTCTCTGAAAAGTGCCCCAGATAGGGAGTGAGGATGAAGGGAGCGTTCATCTCCTGAGTTTCCTGCCCTGGGGGATCACAGTGTGGCACCACATTTTGTTCAGTGCTTAAAAATTGTACCCATATAATCAATCCAGTTTTACAGCCATTTACTGTGGGAGGGCCAGTCCAGTCATACTTATTCTGCCAGTGATGCAGTCACTACCAGTGAGAAAGCCAACTGAATTAATTTAATTGACATTTGTCACCTTTACAATTCAACAACAGTTTTTTTTCTTCCTTATATCTACTCCATGCACATCAACCGAGTGTATTTTTCATTTATCAAAAACTTTTGACAGTGCATTTAAGCATATCATGCTGTTTTCTTGGAATGTTTTATTCCTCTCTTCCATCAGTGGAATCTTCCTCAGTTGTCAAGACCTGGGGAAAGTGATACTTCCTCTGTGTAGCTGCTCCCTGCCACTCTCAATAAATCTGAATCCTCTGCCACTTATCCATATCATTATTTATAACCACCACAGAACTTCAAACATTTTACGAACGGATATTTCTGTGTAAATATACCTTCCAAAACAATTTTGAGGTCTTTATGGATTTAAAATATTCTGATGCTATTTTTTGACAGTATATGTTACCAAACAGAATGTGCTATATATCTGATGCTACTATATGAACAGTAGCACTGTGAGTAGTGGCTACTGGCTACTGGAGTGCTTATTATGATCAATTTTGTTATATTCTTTGTTTTAATTATTTTACTTATTCTTTCCAATGACCTTATGTGGTAAGGAGAACTTCCTCCATGCTAGAGTTAAGAAGTACTAGGTAAATTCTAGGTAAAGAAACTTAACAATAATTTAGCAAGTTTTAGCAAAACCAGGAATTCAACCTAGGTTTGTCCATTGCAATTCACAAATGCTATACTATGATGATTTATGTAACAGGCAGAAGTCTTCAGAAACAAATTGGAATTTTATTTGAGAGATAATTTTTGAAGTGTCATATTCCATTATTAGCACATCCATATAGGAATTATTGAAGAAGAGAATATGAATGAAGGCAATTTGTCTTTGGGCTTAGCTTTTCACTCTTTAGGGAAAAGTATTATCAGGCCATTGATTTGGGATAAGATTTTCCAGATTCTTAGAAAAACAAGATTTCAATGTACATGAATATCTGATTAATCACTTATTAATAACATGTTATTAAAGTTATTAAACTTATTAATAACATGTTTTTAAAGTCTGAAATATCCTCAATACATTTTAATTTACTAAAATTCAGAATGCAAAAACATAATTTTTGACCATTTTGGAAATATATTTTAATTACCATATTTAATAATATAAATAAGCACAAATTAACATTTTA